TTCCCTATGGGAAAACATTGAATAAGCTGCATCTCTAGTTGACCTTCCTCTTACTGGACGCACAGCCCTGTTCATTTGTTTCCATGTGCTGCCCCTGTGATATTGTGATTGCCATGAAGTGAAGGCCCTCTTCAGACCTCTCTGCCTGTCCACAGCTCCCTGCACGCCGTCTTGAAAAACAGAAGATGCTCAGCACTTACTAGCTCAGTTGACCTAAAAATTCCAAACAAATGACAAGTTCGCAACTGACGTATTCCGATTTGGTGTTCTTGAAAGAGAGGGCTTAAGCTCCAGATCAGTCAGTTCACATCTTCACTGAGCCTGTGTGATAGCAGGTCCCTATGCTAGGCCCTTTGAGGGCTACAGAGAGATATAAAAGTCATTACCTCCTGTCTTATCTGCTCGTTGGAATCCCTGGGTGGCCTAATTGGTTAAGAGCTTGGCTGTGAACCAAAAGCTTGGCGGGTTGGCAGTTCAGAGCCACCCAGAGGCCTCAGAAGAAAGGTCTGGTGATCTGCTTCTGAAAGGTCACAGCGTTAATAACCTTATGGAGCACAGTTCTACTCTGACGCACATGGAGTCACCATGAGTCAAATTCAACTTTATGGCAACTGTTGTTTTATTTTTCTGCCATTTGGGAGATAAAACATGCACTCACATTCTAAGTGGACAGTCAGCTACTCCAGGCTGCAGTGCTAGTGCCCGCATGGATGGCACGTGGCATCTGCCCAGGCAGTGACCCTGGCTCCTTCAGCTTGGACTAGAGTGGGCAGGAAGGCTTTTCGTAGAACTTTCTCATGGATAGAATAAAGCTTGTGGGCGGGAGGTGGGTAGGGTAGGGGATCAAAGGAAATACTATTTGTTAAGACCCTCCTTTGTGTAGGACAGATTCAGTCCTTCTGACAGGCATACTACCTACAAAGCTATATCATTATCCTTGTTTTGCAGTAAGGGAACTGAGTCTTAGAAGGCTTAACTATGAGGCCCAAGGTAACACATCATACAGGAGCAGAGTACTAATCTGAATTCAAATACAGACTGTTGTGAAGCCTGCCTCTCTCCTCTACGCCACACTTGGTCTTTAGCAAAGTTGGGGAAGTCAGAGAGCACAGGGCATGTTTGTTTAGGAGACAGTGAGCCTATGGCTTGGCAAGACACAGGGTGCATGTAAATAAGACCTTTATTTTATTTTATTTCGTAGAGACAAAGTCTGAATTTATTTTT